ATATAAAGCTGTTTTAAATTAAATCCTTCCCACACTTGCAATATTCTAAACAATGATTCTAAACTCTTTTCGAGCGTTTAGAGTCTAAACGCTCAAAAAGAGCACAGAATATCATGCGCTCAGCTCTCTGCCTCCTCTCTGCCACGGCTGCTCTCTGCGCTCTCTGCCGCGCCCACTTCTCCACTGCAGAATGGAGATCGACAGAGGAGGAAGGAGGAGCTGCAGGAGGAAGTTTCTCCTGCAGTGTGGGCTGCACAAAGGTGCAGCAGGTGCTAAAGAATTTAAAATGTATTTTAAATAAAAATTCCATGCCAATCGTGCGGTTCATCCATCAATCAGCCAATTGTGTGTCATGTCCAATCTTATTTTGAAAAATCACGATAGCGCGAGTCCGCGAAAAACGAACTACGAAGTAGCGAGGGACTGCTGTACTATGTGTTGTTGGGCTTTGCTCTCAACTACCAACACACCAAATTTCAGTTTAATATCTCTAAAAATGGCTGATTTATAATATTTTTCCTTTTTAGCTCAGGTAGCCATCTTGGATTTTTGATTTGCAATCCGAGTCTATTAGGGATTGTTCTCAGCTACCAACACACCACATTTCAGCTGAATAGCTCTAAAAACCTCTGAGTTATATCCATTTGAATTTAGCTTTGGCGTCCATCTTGCATTTTTAGATTTGAATTCAGAATGTGTTGTGCATCCCTGTCAGGTACCACCACACCAAACTTCAGCTCAATATCTTTTCAAACAGCTGAGTTATCATATTTTTTCTCTTTTAGCTAATGCGGCCATCTTGAATTTTTAATTTGCATTAGGAATGTATAACAGCTAGCTCTCAGCTACGACCATACCAAAGTTCAGCTCAATGTCTCAACGAATGACTATTATAGTCAGTTTTGAGTTTCCTGAGTTAAAATGGCTGCCACAGTTAATCAATTTTGTTCAGTGACCTCTCCACTCTCGGTCATGTGACTTCACTGTGGCAGAAGCTCTTAAGAGTTCTGTCAATGTTTTCAATGAGAAAAATGCTCTGTTTGCAAATTATGTCGCCATGGTAACTTAAAACGCCAATAAAAGTAATAGCACACATCGCAGCGCCAAGCCGGTCGTTTTGATATAACATTTGTCGGGGAACACACTGCAGTTCAGGCCGTATTAAAGTTGGTAGAAGAGTAAGACCCTTTTCAGGTGGATAATAATATGTGGCTGCCTTTCTACTGTAGGTAAAATCTGCTTTACTTTCATTTCTGCTCTGTAGGAGCAGTTGTCAAGCTGCCTCACCTACTGGTGTGGTGGAGAGACCATGATTCTAATTTATTAACTTGTGAATCTGCATTTATTGAATTTGCACTGTAAAGTTGCATGACGCCATTTAAAGATACTAGACCTGGACAAAGACTTTGACACTAACTTTGGGCATGCTTTTCTCACTATTTCTAAAACCTACATGCATTGCATGGTTCTAGGAGCATCACTCTGCATCACCGCATGCGAGAGCACCCAAACCCTAATGCAGTTGAAATAAAGAGATTTGATGAACGAATTAGAAATGGAGAAGACTTGAGTGCTAAAGAAGTAAAAGAGTAAGTTACAATGCAGTGTTGATTTAAAGATCGCTTAACCCAGAAAGTGATGATAGCGTCTATAATGTGTTTGTTTTCCTCACAGGTACAAACAACTCCTCAAAGAGGCTCGGAAACATGAGCTCAAACAGCATGACATCATACTGTGCACGTGCACACAATCATCCACACCCAGCCTGATTTCCTTAGTCAGTGCACGTCAGATCCTGATTGATGAATGTGCAATGGCCACTGAACCCCAAGCCCTGATTCCTTTAGTCTTCAACCAACCAGAGCAGGTGTTTGCTTTCACTCACCTTCCCTTGACTATTATTCGTAAAGTCTTCGCTGCTGGGCAGAAACCTTTTACGACTTTTCAGGAAAAGGGAAAATTGTTTCTTTAACATTTGTAAAATCACTGCGGTCAAAGCTAGTATTTTGTTTGTGCGTAACAATTGGTGGTTGTTGTCTTTTTATTAATTCATATGCAAAGAATCACACCAGCTCTGTGTATGCTGAACAAAAGTATAAACACAACACTTTTTCATTTTGCTCCCATTTTTCATGAGCTGACCTCAAAGATCTAAGACTTTTTCTATGTACACAATAGGCCTTTTCTTCTCTGACACTGTCCATAAATTTGTGAACATCTGTTAGTGAGCACTTCTCCTGTGCATAGAGTTGATCAGGTTGTTGCCTTGAGCACACTGTTTAAGACTGTTGCCCTCCTGGAGAATAAGGTGTGGCTCAAGGATGTTTTTAATTATGTGTTTTAATATATATTTTATTATTTACATACAACACTACTTGTGACCTCCAGCAGGTTCTTCCAATTCTGCAGATGATTCCAGAGAAGGGATTGTTGGGTCACATCTGTTTCTGAACCTGAGTCCTTCTTGTACTTTGGTAGGATGATCAGCTCTGAAGATGTTTTGCTGATCTGACTCGTCTTCTTTCAACACACAAAACTTTAGATGAGTCAGAGAGTCAGAGTCAGAGTTTCTTTATTGTCATTCGCTCCTCATGTGGTACATGTGGTGGAGTGAAATTATGTACACAGGGTCCCAGTTGCATCCAACAATAAAATGTATAAGAAAAACAGTAATAACATCTAAGATATGAACTAAGAAAAACATCAACTAAATTTACACTAAGCACTCATAACATAAAACATTGAACATCAGCACAAACATGAACATGAGTCTGTGAGCAGATGTGCACGCATGAACACATCAACATTGAAACAGATCAGCAGCAACATGAAACAGATCAGCAGCAACATGAAACAGATCAGCAGCAACATGATATGGTTTTTCACAGTGATTATTCTAGTTAGAGATTCATGAGTCTAACAGCCTCAGGGTAGAAGCGGTTCCTCAGTCTAGTGGTTCTACATTTAATGCTCCTTAACCTCCTTCCTGAGGGGAGTGGGGCAAAAAGTGTGTGTGCTGGGTGAGTGGGGTCCTTCATGATGCAGGTGGAGCTTTTATGCAGTAGAGCAGGTGTGCCCAATATGTCAATCACAATCTACCGGTCGATCGCAGATCGATATGGGTAGATGGCATGGCATTAAAAAATAGACGTCAGCCATCCATCTATGAAATTCATCACTTGATTGACAGGGCAGCCAGTCTGAGGCCTCGTTTGCACGACGTGAAACATTTGGCTGTTCATTTACAGACAACAGCCTCGTTCTCTCTGAAACTGAAGGTTTCTCAATCCAGGTCTCAGAGTGGAGATTGTCGGGGGAACCCTCCATGGAGGTGTGAAAGTGTGAAGCTGCACATGTGCACTACAGGTGGCTGCAGTCCAAAGTTTTTCTGCTCTAACAACAGTTATAATAAACATCAGAGAGCAGAGTGCTTTTGTGCTGCTCATCCTTTTTCAGCATGTAGGAGCAGAACTCATCAAATCCAGGGTCCAAAGAGACGTTAGTGTGTTCACCAATTTGGACTAGCTGTGATCAAACAGACGCTGCATGCACAATGAATGCAGCTGAGCCTTGCATCAGGGTTGCCAGATAAATTTAAAACGTCTTATTTATTCCCTCTTTTTCTGTGCACATGTTCAACAAACACAACACACACCTCACCTTAGAGGATATTTACTCAGCACATGACAGTTTAGGTCAAAATACTATAATTTTAAAGCCAAAGTACTATTATATACTGTATATATATAGTATACTGTTCATAATATCTTATCACTTCACTTCTGGCGAGCTGATGGACGGCAGCTCCCTCCGGCTTCTCTGCAGTCTTTAATCATCAAACTGACCCGTTTTTTCGAACTGGACTAAAGTTGGTCCTCCTTCCAACCGAATTCGGTGTTCAGTGACTCAGAGAGACTAAGAATCTAGCTGTTTTTTTGTTTTGTTACCTTTTTCCTTTTAGCCATCCTATTTGTAAAAAAAAAAAAAAACCCTGCAGTATGACTTTTTATAATTGTTTATTGTTGTTGCTGTTGTCCATTGTTGTCTTTGTTGAAATCAGGTCTCTCTTGTAAATGAGTCCTCGAGGCTCAATGGGATTTACCTGTCTAAATAAAGGTTGATTGATTATCCGGCAACCCGACTGACATGGAAACTACAGTGTTTTCTTATACACCTGCTCATTTTATGTTTATTACTCCCAATAACTGTTGAAAAAACACTTAACGTCTCCAGAGGTTGTTCTCGTGTGAAAGGGACCTTGTTGAGAGTAGATCACTTTGATTTGGACATTTTAAAAACAGCTCGTATGCTGAAAAAGTGTGGGCACCCCTGCATTTGAGTGTGCAATCTTACATTTTCAGACGTGTCTTCCTGAACTTTGTCAACAGAGTATTCAGCCATCTCTGCAATAACTAACCAGCCAAGCTGTAACAAGTCACAGTATGAATAGAGAAAAAGCACTTTGTTACTATGCTTTCATAATTTTCACAACACACTGCTGACTGTTGCATGCAAATACACGTTTACTTGTATTGTGATAGACCCTAACTCTAACCCATGTCTCATTTGTTCTGGATGGTACTTGTATAAATACTACATCTAGGGGCCTTGCAGCTGTTAATGGATCCTGTTTGGGTCCAGAGGACTGGGGTTGACCACCACACATCATTTGTACTTTGTGGTTTCACAGATTGTTTTGATTGGGGACCACAAACAGCTACGGCCAATCGTGAAGAATAAGGACGTGAAGAAACTTGGAATGGCAACGTCCCTTTTTGAGCGCTACTACACTAAACTCCATGAAAACAGAGCTGTGATGCTGGACACCCAGTACCGGATGGTGAGGACATGAAACTGTCCAGCTCGAGTACAATGTGTGATGTACTATTCATATCACTGTGTTATGTTTTACTAGCACGAGGACATCTGTGCGTTCCCATCAGAAGAATTTTATGATAACAAGCTGAAGACTGGCGTGGAGCAGCCGAGCAGCGTCCTGCGTGTCGACGACAGGCCAATGCCAGTCGTCTTTGGGCATATCGAAGGAGAGACTCTCTTTCTGGTGGTGAAGACTGCCAAGGGCAACTACAACTCCAAAGTCAACCATAAGGAGAAAGACAAAGTGGTAATCCAGACGTCCATGTTTCTATTCTTGTTTAAAATTCAAACTGAAGAACAAGAAATTCAGTTCTCTGAGGTCCAACCTGAGGCCTTCAGCATGGCTGTTGTCCACACTCACTGCTAAACCAAGAGTTTTAGACATCATTAAAAAAACAAAGACTTTTTCATCATTTTTACATTGATGGTTTTAAACAGAAGTGAGCTACACTGTTTGCTATAACTAATATTAATTCAGTGCCAGATTATTTTCTAAAATCCTGCCTCCTGCACTCTTGATTCTGACTGAACAGTTGTTATACATGTAAATCATATTGTTCGACTCAAAGGCATCTGTCCAGGTCGCCCTTACAGGTCCTTCTCAAAAAATTAGTATATTGTGATAAAGGTCATTATTTTCCATAATGTAATGATAAAAATGAAACTTTCATATATTTCAGATTCATTGCACACCAACTGAAATATTTCAGGTCTTTAATATTTTTAATACTGATGATTATGGCATACAGCTCATGAAAACCCAAAATGCCTGTCCCAAAAAATTAGCATATTTCATCCCACCAATGAAAGACAAGTGATTTTAATACAAAAAACGCCAACCTTCAAATAATCTTGTTCAGTTATGCACTCAATACTTGGTCGGGAATCCTTTTGCATGAATGACTGCTTCAATGCGGCGTGGCATGGAGGCAATCAGCCTGTGGCACTGCTGAGGTGTTATGGAGGCCCAGGATGCTTCAATAGCGGCCTTAAGCTCATCCAGAGTGTTGGGTCTTGCGTCTCTCAACTTTCTCTCAAATTATGAAGAAATTAGATGTGATTTCCTGCATTTTGGTGTATTTTAATGAGTTGTTAAACATCTATGTCAAGCATCCCCCTCCCTCCTTACGTGACCGTTCCGAGCCGACTCTTCTCCCCTGAATTCACTGTCCTGCTCGATGTCTGCTCGATGTTGTCCGACTCCACATGTGAAACCTTCAGGCGCCTCCTCCGTCTGTTCATGGCAGCTGCCTCTGGGCTCCTGCCTGCGTACGACTGCCTGGTTAGCTCATCACTCACCCCCACCACTCGCTCCTCCTCCAGTCTCCATTGCCGCTGCCTTCAGGTGCTTCAATTCTCGGTTGTCCAACTAAGGACAATGAGGTCTTTTTTTATTTAAGTAAATTGGACTGTCTTTTTGACATGTTGACCGCTGTTAATGTGACAAATTAGCGCTGTTGTTTTGATACGTGACGTGAATAATACCCATCAAACATTTCTCTCGTTGTATTTTTAACAAATAATCAAAATTTTATTAATGACCCACTTACTGTCAAACTGATTTACAGTTTTGTTGTGCTGTTTAATTATATTTTTTAATTTTTTAATAAAATTGCGTGATGACTTTGGACTTTTGGTGGCGGAGGTTTTTTTTTAAGGGTAGAAGTGGAAATGCTTACTTGAAGGGGCAGATTTTCTGCAATATTAAGAAATCGTAACTGGTTGTTGTGCTTAAAATTAGTGTTCATGTAGTTATTTTAATTTTACATATCCAATAAAAGTTTAATTAATTCAATGCAGTCATATTTGTTCATAACTTTATTATTATTGAGCCTGAGAGTTACCAGAACGCACCCTGTCAAAATAAGAGAGTTCCCAGATCCTGTTCCAGCAGGATCCAGCTCAGATTAAGCCCTGGGAATAACACGGCTTTTAGTATGACCTAGAATGACTTTAGAAGACAAAAAGGATTGTGCAACTTATCCTTGCTCACTCTCACGCTTTGACAGAGGCAGATGCTTTCACTCATTTTATTTATGACTGTTTTCAACAACTGATGAGCTTTTATCTTTTTCAGGTACAGATTGCTGAAATGCTTGTGAAAAAAGCAAAAGTAGAGGAGAAAAGCATCGTTGTTCTGTCGCCCTATAATGCCCAAGTGTCAGAAATCCGCGAGGAGCTGAAAAAGATGGATTTAGGACAAATCACAGTAACTACAGTCACAAAAAGCCAAGGTAAAAACTACAACAAATCTTAACTTTCCCTAACAAATGTTATACATGTTTCACAGCATTGTTTCAATCAATCTTAAAATTAGTTGAGCAGGAAGCCATCTTAGTACGGTATACAAAATTAAGCTACTAATTGTAAAACAATATATTTGTATCAAATGTGATAAAGCAACTTAATTTCAGTCAAGAAATGGCAGCTATTTGTAGCAGTTTTGCTAAATAAAAACCCTCAAACTTTTATTCTTGCAGGGAGTGAATGGCAATACGTCATTTTATCAACTGTGTGCTCACTGCCAAGCAAAGAAGTCATGAGCGAACCAGAGGGCGCCTGGTTGTCCAAACATATAGGCTCTGTGGGAGACCCCAATCAAATAAACGTTTCCATCACCAGGGCCAAGGAAGGTCTCTGCATCATCGGTAAGACCTACATGGTAGAAACTTGACCCATGCGTGACTTTAGGTTTAGGTGGCTTCTGTAGATGTTTGGGTTGTCGCACTAAAGAAAATATCTCCTGCAACGCTTCCAAACAAGCCCTACTTGTTCAGTCATTTTTATTATACTGCCATACACTTTACCATTTATTGAGCCTACTGAGGCCTGTAGCGTCAGAGATTGCCGCACTTTTCAGTGTTTTCCATTTGTGAATAATCTTCTTACTGTAAAATATTTGACTATAATTGTTTTTAAATGACCTATAATCTTTCCCAGGTTGACAAGTCAACAGAAGTTATTTCTCTAAGGTTGTTGCTGATGTCTTTCCTTCTTGGCATAGTGTCAGCACATTTTTATGGTCCAGCGCAGCAAACTGACCAAGCACCTGCTTTTGTAGAGGTTCTCACACTGAGAATAATTAGTTAAGCATAGACTATAGATCCTGTCATGGTGTCATGCCTAATGTGAAGCTATTGTACTTTCTGCTGTAAACGCCACACCGTCATAAGTCGCATCAGTCCAAAAATGTCTAATAAAGTGGGAAAAAACATCAATAATCGCTTCGCCATATAAGTCGCATCTATTATGCATCACCACTGACAACCTGGAATCGTGGGCCAGCGTTGTGCCAAAAATCAATTGGCTGCCAAATGGCGGCTGCTGGAGCATGCACAGGAGGACTTTAACAATAATTTAACAAGATTAACACTTAACATTTATTTGTTTGCTCGAAATAATAGCAAAGGTGTGTCTCAGTTGAACTTTTCCTTAATAAATGCACTATGGCTGTCAAATCAGCTGCATTTCAAAAATCGATTTGCGGCTGCGGTAGTGCGCAGAGGGACGACTTGCTGTGCATTTCTTCTAAATTTAACAAGATAACCACCTAAAAACAATTGTTTGTTTGCTCGGCATTATAGTAAAAGTGTGTCTCAGTTAAACTTTTCCTTAATAAATGCACTTTAATGAACAAATCAGCTGCATTTCACCTGGGCGGCGCAGTGAAATGCAGCTGATTTGACAGTTGCTCCAGAAGTTCTGGAACAAGACGAAGGTGGCTTTGTATGGCAAGCCAAGTGTCTCATTAATAGCCATTTTTACCTATTAATGAGACACTTGGCTTACCATATTAGTCAAGAGCCCTCTAGCAGCTGAAAATGTTAGTGTTCAATATTTCCCATGTCAGAATGAATGAAATCGTCAGATCTCAGCCAAAAATTGGGTTATAAATATGGGGGGAAGCGTATATTAGTCACTTCGGTGTATAAGTTGCAGGACGTGCAAATTTATGCAAAAAGATGTGACTTACTCGGCGAAAAATACGTCCTTCAGGTTTTACATGACTGCATGACATGTTCTTGAGAATAATAATATAAATAATGTCAATGATGGGTTACCTATTTTAATGTATGCTATTTTAGCGTGTTTACAAAATAGAAAAAAGTAGAAATAGAAAAAATAAAACAATAACCAAACCAAAAAGTGACCTTGAACCCAAACTACACTGGATTTACGAACCGTCAGTCCTTCTGTAGAGTCTTGGAAGGAGCCATGTATTTACTAAGCTCAGCCTCGTCAATAAGGCCACGCTCACATTGCAGCTCTCAACTCTCAATTCCTTTTTTTTTTCTCAAATACAATTTTCTTTGCGTGATTGTTAACATGTTAGATGTAAACTGTCTCTGAAGTTACCTGTATGTGCTAAAGAAGACGTGATGTCTCACACAGTGCGCTGTTTCCATAGTATATGGATGCTACATGTCAGCAGCATGTGTGTATCAATTCTAAAGTTGTGCAATCAGAGCTGATCAAATGATCCCACGTGAATGTTTCGTCCAGTGTTTTTATTTGATCTTCCCGTCTACTCAGGTAAATCATTTATGGGGATAAATTAGTCTCAAAAGTAGTCACTTAGGCGCACAATAAGGTCCACAAGCATACCACAAGGTTTACAAATGCATCAACAGTTTTTCAAATGTACGTTTCATTTCAAATTGCACAAGTAAGAGTATGTTACACAAAGAAATTGTCAAATACATGTGCACACATCATCAAATACGCACGGATCTACTTGCCTGTGACTGAGACATTTGAGACTTTCTTACCACTCCAGATTCTCAAATGTAATGCTGCATTCAAGGCTGGTGAAAATCTGGGACATCTGGGGTCTCATGTACAAAGACTTACGTGGATTACTGTACCTACTGAAACATGGCGTACACTTAAATTGAGAAAACAGCAAACGCACAAATAAATCCAGATGTATGAATCCAAGCGCACTTCCTTTGTACGTCCCAATCAAGGTGGAAGTGAGCGTACCACTCTTGACACGCCTCCATTTAATATGTAAAATAAATTTAAATCTGCCCTGCACCTGAGGAATCTCCTCTCTGTACTATCATGAAGCCTGTCAAAAAAGAGGAAGTTAAAGAGGAACTGCTAGACAATCAGGAGTAGAACGTTCTGAAAGTGTAGTTTAACCAGCACAAAACAGGAAGTCACTCACTTGGACCACCGACTAGTAATGATACGGTGAACACAATGTGGGGGTGCACAGGCTCCATGTGCATCGGGTGTGTGTGTGTGTGTGTGTGTGTGTGTGTGTGTGTGTAATATTAAGACAATTAATTTAGTCACCAAGAAGCCCCCCATCCTGCACTGTGCCATCTTGTAGTCTGTTCCAACCATGCTGTCCATTAGAATGAATTGTGTTAAACCACCTCATGGTCCGAGGCTGTGGACATGAGGCCACCACGCCACCATGTTGGTCAGTTGATTTGTGAATCATGTGTAATCTACACATTGATTAAAAGAAAATTCTTCCTGATAACAAACGTCTTCGTCCTGTTATGGTGCTTTTATAGCGATGTGTGTGTAGGCCATAGCTGTGACTACATCAGGAAAACCATCCGTTGCTGCAAACTGCTCTTTAATGTTGGCCTAATCAGCTGCATTGTGGGTCATTTGATATTCCTGATTGACATACGGATCATTCCATCCCACACAGCTGGCATGGCTCGGTGGACCCCGGTCCACTGGCATAGTCCTGATGGGTCTTCCAGTTCCCTCTGGAATTACCCTGTTGATAGGAACACCAGTGTGGCCATCAGCTGTATGTGCATGAGCAGCGCACGACTCCTGGCTGTGTCTCGCTCCAAGACTGGCCACAGCTCCAAGTACAGTTCCAAAAGGATTGTCCTTGGAAGACTAAAATGTCTGATGAGTCAGTCGTCATCATAGTTCAGAAAATCCTGTCTCTAAACACACGCTCTCTGAGTATTGCACCATTTGCTATTGTTGTTTGTGTTTGATAAGAACCAGTCCTAGTTTACTGCTCAGGCATTTTTATTAAAGCTCGGTTACATTTTGTCAAAAAATACTTTCGGATTTGCTCAACCAATCAATGTGCAGTCACATGCAGACCAATCCGATCTCCTCATGCCGTTGCTTTTCTGAGCCAAGAAAGCAACTAATCTGAGCTATAAAATAAAACTAAATGAATGGCCAGATGTGAAATCAAAACAAAAATAAAAGCTATAAGGATTGTGAAGTGGTCTCTGGTGGGGAAAGTCCCACTTGGTGTTTGGAGAGATGATCAAGACACGAGGAAAGGTGCTTCAAGAACATCTGATGGATTTTGACCTAGATAAAAAGACTTGCTAGTTTTTGTTTCTAGTTGATTAGAATCGAGATCTTGCATCAAAATAACGTTTTATTTCTTGTCTGAAGGAAACCAAGAGCTGCTCAGGTGTAACAGAACGTGGAACGACCTCCTGAGGAACTACACTCGTCACAACGCAGTGACAGATGCACACAAGATTTCAGTTCACCAAAAAACCTAACCCCTTTCCTTTTGACAGATTTTTTATCACATCATTTTTCATAAAGTGTAGTTTCATGGCACATTTAGAGCTGTATTGCTGTTTTGTATAATTTCTAAGATCTGGTCTAACTGTGCAGATATTTTATTAATTTTATAGAAATGAACTGTAAAAAAAAAAAATTGCTTTTTATCCATCTGTTCATATTTACGGATGAATGAATTATTTTTCTCTTACATTTTAAAATAATATTTTATCACTTGAACTTTCTCCACTATAACTTTTTGTGAATGAAATAATATATTATGTAGTTTTTGATATGAATCTATCTGTAATTTTTATGTTTAATCGATTTAACAGCTGACATTTTAGCATTTTGTTGTTTTTGTTTAAATCATTAAGTACAAATGTGCAGAAAAACAAAAATGGATTTAATATTACTTTTCTGAGTTTTGTTTTAGTCTCAAATTAAATGTACGGATGTCTTGTAGTAATTTGAAAGTATTAATTCATGGGGCTGTCACTAAAAAAAATCAGTTTCAAAGAATTCTTGTTTTTTTTGTCTCTTTGGAATTAGAAGTTTCTTGTTCTTTGTCGGTCTTACTTGTTTTCTTATAATCTGTTTTTACTTGACCCTTAGTTGTGGGTTAATCTGGAGTTTTCAACATATTCTCAATACATTTTGTTTCCAGCGTTTCTACCTGTTTTTGTCAGTTGTGGAAGGCTATTTCTGTGAAATTATGTGAAAATCTGATGTTTTAAGTCATATTTATGTAGAAATACAGAAAATTATAAAGAGTTCACAAACATTCAAGCATCACTGTGTGTATATATATATATATTTTTTTTTTTCATTTTTCCCTGAACAAACTTTCTTCAGTACCCATTTAATTGTCTAAAATCAACACCTGTCAAACAAAATATGAAAAAAGGAAGCAGTATTTGACAGTTGTGCATTTATTGTATAAAAATGAAAACAATTAGAAAGTTTTCTTGCACCAAATCTTTATCGCTTTTCTTACACAAACTCCCTTTATTATTTGATTTCTTGTGAAAGAATGATTTCAACATAAACAGGTGTTGGATGTTATTAAACAGCAAGTTATAATTAAGGAGTGTACATACATTCATTCATTCAACCTTTATTTATACAAGTTAGTCTCATCCGATCTGTATTAAAACAAAGACACTGCTGGAAAGTGTAGCCCTTTAAATCAGTTGTTGAAATCACAGCCAGGTCATGTTACCAGGTTATCTCAAGTAAACCACTGGGATTCAGGTTTAAACAAAAAGGTCTGAAATAGTTTGTATTACTTTCAGAGGCTTAGAAAGTTCAGTGCAGTTGTTACAGCAGTACTTCAGAAGAGACACTGGCACGTCATTTTCTAAGTACAGACATGGATAAATTTGATGGTACCCTCACAACTCTTTGAAACAATGCTTCACGTTTTCACAAAGTGCCTTTAAGATTATGATCAGACATTTAGCCTATTTAAAAGGGAACAAGCATAACATCCACTAAGTACTTTGATACTGTCGTGTGCATGGATCAAAAAAGCAAATGGGAGAGCTGTGAGGAGCAGTGAAAGACCATTATTGATATTCACGTTAAACGTAAAGACAAGCCATCTCCAACTTCATGTTCCTCTGACCACAGCTGTTGGGACTGTAGCCGACTTCTCAGGACGTGGACGCAAGACGAAATGCAACCCCAGGTTGGTCAGATGGATAGCAGAAAGAGCAGAGGAAACTATTGAAAGTGATTTAAGCTGAACACCAAAGTTGAGCTACGTCACTTTCTGATCACATCTGCTATATTTGAATCATAATGGGCTCCATGGAAGAAGACCTAGAATGGCTTCATTAATGACAGAAAAAAAAAAAGGCCAAATTCATGTTGACAAGTCCCAAAGTTTCTCAGACTGATCAGACAAAAACAGGCTTTTTTGCTCTAGTCACATCAGTTGGACATTTTTTGATTGTTGTGAAAGGATACAAACAAACTTATCTGTGTCTGTACATAGTGATTTATTTTAAAATGCTATTTCAGTAGATGCATCAGTTTTGTCCTGAAGATTTACAGCAAAAAACAGTGTTGTACCAAACAATAAGGAATGGTTTTGGCTGAGAATTTGATGCAGTGCTATAACAATTTAGTTCAGCGCCTACCTTTTCATGCCAGAACGTTTTTGGCAGAAACCACATTTAGATGTCTTGAACTCGCTCCTGTAGTTAACAGAGTTTTGTCAGTAACCTGCTAACACAGGTAATTCAGGCTACAAGTCTAATCAAATATAGCCTTACCAGATTTAAAACAATTATAGCCCCACCATCAAATTCAGGACAATTCTAAAGTAGTTAGTATACTTGTTTATTGAAGTACCCACGTAATCCTCTTTATGAAAAGGCAGCAGCTCAAGTGAATATTTTCCAGTTCAGAAGCCTCATGTTCACAGTGAAGGCAGAACCAAACCAAAGTGCAGCACCAACAGACCATCCTGAAATAAGAACCAGCACAAGGATCAGACATTACTTCATTAGAAACTCCAAAATCCATTATTAAAAACATATTTTCCCCTACCTGTAGCGCGTCTTTGCCTGCAGAGTTCTGAATGTCTTTTAGTGACTGGAAGTGATCCAAGAGGTGATCTCCACAAACTACATCCACCTGCAGGAAGGAAGTAATAACTGTTTTAATTCAGTCTAACAAATTATTAAGAGTTACAGTGCTTTTTTTTAAAAAAATGGAAGGTGATGGAGCAAACAACAAACTTAGAAAATGTAGTTAATATCAATTATAAAAGGGTTTCCAGAGCAGCAGTAGTGGAGTTCTGATGAACAGCGAGCTCCATGTTTGCTTCAAATACCGTATTTTACGCCGTACACGTCACATCAGTCCAAATATGTCTAATAAAGTGGAAAAATCCATAAATATGTCGCTTCGCTGTATACGTCACATCTATTATGCATCACCGCTGACAACCTGGAATCGTGGGCCGGTGTTGTGCCAAAAATCAATTGGCTGCCAAATGGTGGCTGCAGCAGCGTGCACGGGAGGACTTTAACAAGAAATTAACAAGATTAACACTTAAAAACAATTATTTGTTTCCTGATGCATGTTCAATATTCCATTTATAATCCATAAAATTATTTGTTTGCTCAAAATTATAGTAAAGGTGTGTCTCAGTTGAACTTTTCCTTAATAAATGCATTTTGATGGTCAAATCAGCTGCATTTCAAAAGCCGATTCATGGAAGCGGGAGCGCGCAGAGGGACAACTCGTGCATTTCTTCGAATTTTAACAAGATAAGTACACCTAAAACAATTGTTTGTTTGCTCCACATTATAGTAGAGGTGTGTCTCAGTTAAACTTTTACTTAATAAATTCACTTCAGTGGTCAAATCAGCTGCATTTCTCCGGAGCGGCGCAGTGAAATGAAGCTGATTTGACGGTTGCTCCAGGCGAGATGGACGAAGGTGGCTGTGTATGGCAAGCCGATTATGTCATTAATAGCCGCTTTTACCCATTACATGAAACAACGGCATGGCTTACTACTTCAGTGTCATCTATTGGCTGAAAATGGTAGTGTTCAATATTTTCAGTCAGAATGAATGAAAATGGTCATATCTCAGCTAAAAATTGGTTTATAAATATGAAAAAAAATCCATAAATATGTCACTTCAGTGTATAAGTCACAGGGCATGTAAATTATGCAAAAAACTGACTTGTAGGCCAAAAAATACGGTAGTTGAGGTAGAATATAGAAGAATCCAACAAAGTTGTCACGTCCTCTGGACAGTTTATTTTTGTTCAGACATATAACATATATATTTATATGTATAAATGTACAAGAACGTTGTGCTTTGGTCCAGAAATGAGTCTAAACTGCTAATCCCCACCCACACTTTACTAAACACACAAACAGCTAAGTTCTTTGTTATATAGAAACTATAAAAGCAGTTTTTGACAAATAAATCATGGTGCATCATTAGACTAACCTGACACATGGGACTCAACTCCATTTTCCTTCGAATGAACAGCTCCACGTGGCGAACGGTGGCCTCCCCCGACACACAAACATACCGCCTCTCCAGTGGCTACAAAGAATAAAATAAGGATGAAAACAAGTAGGAGATGTAAGAAGCAAAACTGGACACGATGTTTTAAACTAGTCAGCCAACCATGGTTTTTCATGTGCTAGTGCAAATCTTTTAAAATACTGTCAACTGGCGGAAGAGCTTTAAAGTTGTTTTTCTGGCCCATCCATACCATACCAGCTACAATTTATATATATATATATATGAATAGTAGGAATGACATAATTTTTAAAAATCTTGAAGCACCTTGCTTTCTGCTGAGTCATGTTTGTAGAGTGGTTAAGACTAAGGTCCTGCTCAACTGACAGTTACATTTGTACTGGGTGATTCGACTGCAAGTACTTAGTTCTAATTGAGTATTCACACCTGGCAGTGAAATGCAAACCCCCAAAATGTTTCTTTCTGATCAGATGTCATTTCATTCAACATTTATTTATACAGGTTACTCTCATAGAGTCACAAGGACTCGTTTACAAGAGAGAGGTACAGACAACAATTAACAGTCATAAAAAAGCATAAAAAATGAAAAGTAAATAAAAGAAGTGATATAAAACGAAATAAAAAACAGCTACATTATAAAATGGTGTAAAATATTAAAAACAGGAACATGTCTGCGTTGATTTTTGCATTGAACCTAAAAGTATTTTAAAATCCCTTAGAGAGGTCAAGCTCGAGAATTTCAGATCTTTTTGCAAAATATTCCAGGAAACGGGAGCGAAGTAAAAGAAGGACCTTTTGCCTAGTTCGGTCCACACTGAAGGGAGGCTGCAGGTAATTATGTCTTGAGAGCGCACGCTGTAGCTGCAGTGACTAAGTGACATGTAGGAGGAGATGTATGAAGGCAACAGACCAAGAAGTGATTTAAAGACGAAAATGTACCAGTGAGAGAGTCTGTGTGAAGTTAATGATGTCCAGTTAACGAGTGAATACTGGGTGCAGTGGTGGGTACGGTAGTTACAGCCAGTTATGAATCTTAGTGCACCATGATAGACAGCATCCAACATCTGCAGGGCGCTAGCAGGAGCCTTCATGTAAATAATGTCACCATAGTCAATGGAGGGAAGGAAAGTAGCAGTTACAAGGTGTTTCCTAGCATTCAGAGTTAGACAGGATCTGTTTCTGAAAAATAAACCCAGTTTTATTTTCTGTTTCATTAAATTTTCGACATGAGGCTTAAAAGACAGATGTATATCGACCAAGAATCCCAAGTATTTATAAGAATCCACAAACTCAATAGGGGCACCGTTCGTGGATAAAATAGAAGGAAGGACTGCTGGTACCATCTTCCTGTTTGAAAACAACATCTCTTTGGTTTTATCAGCATGTAGTTTGAGCCGGATCAAATCTGACTGGATGATGTCGAATGCAGACTGTAAAAGCTGGAAAACCTTAGCAACTGTTTTAGCTCAAAAATAAACAACATCAGCAGAGATGTAAAGATGCATCAGGAATGATCTGACCTAAATTACTTATGTAGATTATAAAGCGGGTGGGTCCTAAGACTGAGCCTTGTGGTACACCACTGTTGACAGTTACGTAGCTGGAAGAAGTACATCATGTTGAACATATTGCCTCCTATCTGAGAGGTAATTAGAAAACCAACTGATAGTGTGGTCTGAGAAACCAATTTATTCACTTCATACATGCAGTTAGGTGTAAGTGAATGTCACGAGGGTCTTTTCCACGCAAACATTTTCTTGAATCCAAATGAAAAGTTCTACAAACAAATCCACTGGCTAATCAAGTTTTCAGATCATGTAATATTTATTTTCTCTTCCAAAAAGGTAAAACCCTTGCCTTCCTTGCAAGCTTCATACAATAATGTCCACCAGCTTTTGCCATGCAATGAGGGAAGCGGCCATCAAACCACCCAGTGCAACAGCAACAGGTCCAAGTAATGTTTTAATGTATGTTTTCCTGAAATGAACCCCCAAGTGTGCACCCTTGGTTGTTCTAAGAAGGTGAGGAAAAATAAGACATTATAATGAACTTTACTAACAAGATATAAACTAACTAAGGGGAGAGAGGATTGGAGTGTGACGTGGCTCTGTGTGCATGCAGATGTGTAAGTGTCACGGATGCTTCATCACAATGAACAACAAATGGTGCGACAGCAGGTCTGCATGTGATGCAGACACTTCAGTCTTGAGCATGAACAGTTACATCCAAAATGGTGAATATGTGAATGTTTGTTTGGACTGAGGATTAGACTGGTTTTGTCATACACATTGAAAAAGGGTCAGTAGAACAAACAGTCCTCTGTTATCAGCCATTGGTACCGTTGTTTATCTACTCACAGAAGTGCAGAACTACTGACTGCAGCCGTCCGTGAGACCACTCAGACAAATTCAAAAAGTTTTAGTTTCAGAGAAAACAACTGCTGTTGTTGTGTACACAAACAAAAACTTTTCCAACATTACTGCTGAACTTGCCTTGCAGAACCATATGTAAGAACACGTTGTCGTGGAACATGGCCAGATAAAAAAAATTATGTCTGAACACCTAGAGGCTCGTCTTTGGGGGCATTTTATGGAACCATGGTGTCTTTAACTGAATTAACTTATTGTGATCATCAAGAAAAACATATAGAAGACCTACAAACTCATACAGGTGCAGCACTTAGTATGGTAGTTAATAAATGACTCAAACCAATTAAAGTTTAAAAGATCCTTATGTTCACATGAACTACAACAACCATAAAATACAGCAAGATAATCTGGAACCAAATCATATTTACCTTAAAGCCAAAAATGCCCTCTTCAGCTCTGAAAACAAAAAATAGAATAATAACTTTTTGTTGTGTTTCTGTAGGCAACACAGGAGAACAACCTACTCAAACTTAAACCTGAATTTTTCATTCATTCAGCCATGACATTCAAATAACATTCACTTCAGTGCTAATAAATGTTTAGCTGGTGCTCCCAATTTCTATCCCCTGCTGCCTAAAGCCAAAGAGTGACTGTAAGCGTGTCCATTTGTTGATTTAAAAACAAATCACATGACCCACAGGGCATTAATAATTTAATAAAACTCTCAGAAAATATTCACTGCATGTACAACAAATTCCAGTCATCCCTCACTCTATCGTGGTTCAGTTCTTGCGGCTTCATTGCATTGTGGATTTAAAAATATAAAAAATTATATATACACCGGTATATACAGACGTGTGCTGACTCCCACCAGTCTTTAAAAAAAAGCTTATTGAACGCGCTCTGTGTGTCTGGTTGAAATTTTGGGTCCTCGGCTAAATTCATTACAGGGAAAGATTTGTAGGAGAGTGGAATGGGTTTATAAAGCCTTAAACATACATAAATAATAACATTTAATGCCGCTTCTTCGCAGATTTTCACCTACTGCAGAGGTCTCTGGCATAATCCCACGACAGGTAAGGGATCACTGTACTTCAACCCCTTTCAAGGTGGCCACCACAACTAAAGCCCCCCAGTATACTCCTGCGTACGTACGTACGCGCTGAGGTACACGCAAACAGACGCGGACGGTTCAGATTTCATGCTTGAGCGTACACCGAGCGGCTGCAGAGCAGCTTTGCAGACAAGGGGCGTTTACCTTCGGGACAAATTGAAGTCGCCGATTGGTTATTTGCTGACACGCCTACTGGATTGATTGACAGGTCGAGAAAAAAAAAGCTGGCAGCCTCAGCCGCAGTGGTGTTCTGTGTTTATATGTTGTTAATAAAAAGTTCTAAAAAAAAAAACAAACAAACAAAAAAATAAAAACAGGGAGCGCTGGCCTTGCAGCCCACACATCAGAGCAGCCCACCAGGAAATCTCCAGACCCTCCCGCAGCAACACTGGGACTGATTTTAATTCGCTCGTGACAAAGTCCTTCATTTCTCACCATTTCAGTCATGGCATCAACGGAGGAGGAAGAGATCACCTGCCTCTTGGCAAAAAAACAAAAGAAAAAGCCAGATCAGGGATGAAGAAGGGGAAATTAATACATTGGTGTCGCATACAAAACAGTCCCGTCGCCGGGCAGTTTATTGTGCGACACCACGTACGAGGTCGTAAAAATTGAGCTTTGCACGGACATGCTCGCGTACAGACGTACACAAGAGTATACTGGGGGCTTAAGCAGTCTCAGCGAAAACAAAATTAACTGCAACTTAATTAATTTTATACATTGGCTAAAATTTAATATGCCAGTTGCTGAGACTCATCCTCAAATTATACACAGAGCATTAAATTGTGTGATATTTGTTTATTTAACTACAGGGTAAAATCTATAGCGCATGGAGAATGCTTCGGCTACAACCATACCAAATTTCAGGCCAACATCTGGAAAACTGACTATTATTGACGGACCACAGTCAGTACAATTGGGGAGGAACACCGCCGCTGTTATCAGTCTGAGCACAGGCGTCCCACAGGGCTGTGTTCTGAGTCCGGTTCTCTTTACCCTGATGACTTACGACTGCGTTGCCAGGTTTGAGACAAACCACATCATCAAATATGCAGACGATACCACGTTCATGGGCCTGATTATCAACAATGAGGATTAGGCATATCAGGATGATGTGGCACGCCTTGTGAACTGGTGTGGGGAAAGTAACCTGGTTCTGAATGTCAACAAAAGAGCTCATTATTGACTTCAGGAAAACAAAACGACATCAAACGCCACTGCTCACAACCAACACAGAGGTGGAGGTGGTGTAAAGCAGCAGGTTCCTGGGGGTGCACATAACCAAGCAGCTGTCTTGGTCAAGAAACACTTAGTGTTTCTAGTGAAGAAAGTCCAGCAGCGTCTGCACTTCCTCTATAGCTTGAAGAGAGCACACCTCCCACCCCACGTCCTCATCCCACGAGCTATTACACTGCTGAACTCAGGTCATTAATGAAGGGACCACAATGGCAAACACACACAGCCACAGAGATACCTCGGTAAAAATCCTTACCCAAAATAAACAGTATATAGGAATTCACTGAGGCATGGATGCTGTGTGTATTGTGTATGTATGTATTAGGGCATTAACAGAGTACTCGAGTAATCTACACATCGATTGCTAGGACATCTATCGAGGTTAAAAATGTTACGTTGAGTATCCATAGTGACGTCATATTATGTGACCACCGTATGACCACAGGGGGCGGTGTTGCACTGTTGCAGGTCACAGAGTATGGTGTAACACCGGGTCCAATCCACCGAACCAGAACCAGTTTCGGTTTAAGTTTCATTTTTGATGTGCTGCATGTTTCTTCACGTTTGCAGTTTAATAATAATAACTAATAGTTTACTTTTTCCTGTGACTTATTTGCAGTATGATAAATGAAAGGAGCATAATATACTCTCCCAATGTTTTGTTGGTCTTTTGTTATGTAAATAATTACCTTTTTTTGCGGTTTTATTTATTTATTTATTTTTGTATCTTGAGATCTATGACGTCATCAAATACTCGAGTTCTACTCGGGTTTTATTATGTTAATGTCGAGTTTAAAAATTATATACTCGTTCAACCCCTAGTATGTATATATGTAAATATATGTACATGCATGTATAAATGTATCATTTGTCTAAATGCATATAGGAACATTCACTGATATTTGAACATTACTTGTATCAGCACAAAAATGGCATATTTTGCTCTAAACACCAAAGTCTATAAAATTCATGTAAATGATGTACTCCTACACTGCTGTAGAGAAATAAAACAAAATTTCATTAAATTTTGCATGGTGTACTGTACAATTTTGAATGATAATAAAGTTTATACTTATTATTATTTAGTAGTAGTATTATTATAACATTGTTAAGTTTTCTAAGATCAGTGTGTTGCGGCAGCCATTTTAAATAGGGTTGAGTCTAAAAATCAATAAGTTGTAAATGCAAATCCAATGATTACTGTATTTCCAAGAGAATTGTTAAAATCTGTCAGGTCATTTGTGACGTATTCTGTTAACGCAATAAATGTACACACAAGCACACACACCCACACACAGGCAAAAACATTTTCACCCTTTTTCTTTCTGCAGCTTGCAATAATTAAAAATTGTTTGTTGCAGTAATAGAGAATGTCTTATCTTTTAGTTAACAGACTGTAGATGTAGGGCATATCACCTTGAGGAAGTAAAATAATTAGAGAATTTAATTTTCTTCTATTATCCTGTATTACTACCTTTCAGTGGTTTCAGAGGCTTGATTTGTTTTAGTGGCTAACACACCTGTACTCAACAACGATCAGAGAACTGTGCAATACACGTCCTTACCCAACAAACTCCAGGAGCAGAGACACATTCAACTCAGGGGGCATTGTAAACACTGATGAGGGAGAACTGCCTTTCTTCTGCTTCCTCCACACAACAGGAACTTGAGGGGAAAGAACCACTGCAAACAAGACAGTAAACAACACAGATGGGCAATTACAATTGTTAAAAAACACATTAAAAGTATGTACTTTTAAGCCAAAAACAGGATGTTGTTGTATAATGCTCATTATGTCCTCCGGCATCAGCATACTGTACCTTATGATGTACAAACTAGGGATGCACCGATTCACTTTTTTTTTAACTTCCGATCCGATATCTAACTCTGGATATCGGCCGATACCGATCCAGTTCCGATATCATGATCATCATTGATTTTATATGAGGCTGTAATAATCTGCTCTCAAGTACAATTTGTACAAATATATGCATGCATGTCCAGAAAGACAACTTGAGGTAAGTTTTATTAATGTTGGATAAGTTTTAAAGTTAGAATGAAATTCTGCTAACACAAAACATGTTTCTTTTTATTCCTAGCTTTAAAGTGGATATTAAAGTGAGTGATTGTTTAAAGTTTTTTTTTTTTTTTTTAAATAAGGGGCAGATATTTTTTCTTCTTTCTGCACTCTTTTCATTCATTGTTTTCTTTTTGATGATTTTTTTTATTTTTTTTTATTTTGTTTCTTTTAAATGAATGAATAAATGAATAAAATAAAATAAAATGTTAAACGTCTTCAAACACCTGCTAAGTTCATGGCATAAACCAACAGACATGTTCCTGTTTTTAGTATTTTACATCACTTTATAATATAGCTGTTTTTGTTTTTAATATAATTTTCAAATCATATGTTTTTTTATGATTGTCTACTGTTGTACTGATAAATATCTCTGGAGGGTAAACTATATCTTGACTGCAAGTATCAAGCTGTGAAATCCTTCGTTTTCTACAACTGATAGTGGTTGGTCATTAATTATGATGAAGTTTAGCAACTTCTCTGTAAACATTTGAGTTCCGTGGTTTCAGCGACGTCTACTTTCAGGTCTCTCTTGTAAATGAGTCCTCGAGGCTCAATGGGATTTACCTGTATAAATAAAGGTTGATTGATACTTCTTGTTCAATCTGAAGCAGGCAGCCTGATCTGGGGCAGCTGCGCTCAGTCTGTCCCTCCTCAGAGACGGGCAGACTGAGCGAAGCAGATTGGACGCGGCTGGCCGGGGTCGAGTCGCCTCTTTCGGATTCAGCGAGAGTAGCACCCCGCTGAAGCCCCAGAGCTCGAATGTCCAACGTAAAACTAACTTTACCACGGTTTAATGTGGCGCTATGGCTCTGCAGACATTGCACGTTGCTGTCTTGTTTTGTGGTGTTTCTAGTGTAAAATACTTCCACACAGCGGACATGTTTAGATGGAAAGTTTGTTAGCTGTTAGCCACAGTGCTGCTAACTCAGTCCTCACGTTGTAGCTGCTGCAAACTATGAACTGGATTTCCTGAATGTGAGGCGGGTCTTATTACTCTGGGTTCATGAGACACGCCGCCGTTCAGGAAATCCATTCCGTAGTTTGAAGCCAACTTGTATCATGGATCGGAAATATTGGCAGGTGGATCGGAAAATCTGATAGTAAATTATGCTGGTATCGGAGGCCGATACCGATACTGGATCAGATCGGCCCTATCCCTAGAAACACATGTGCAAATGTTAACAGTAGTTTACATGAACCCAAGTCTTTTATTAAGTTCAGCTGCTGAGGCTGGAATATTTTACCTCCCTCTACAGAATCCCCACCTTAATGTGGATCATGGGGGGTTTGAGTACCCACATGATTTTTGGCCTGTGCTGTCGGGAGCATCAGCCCCAGGTAGGGTCTCCCATGGCAAATTAAGCCGCTTTGCCATTGATAATGTCATTCCACTTGATGTCGTCTCATCATTTCTTCTCAGGTGTAGGTGAATTGCCACTGTGATTTGTTACCCTTTTCTGTGGGCAGGATCGTCAATGTAAAGTGTGCGGTTTCTTGTAGCACCATCCAGCTCGTGCAGAATCCTCTGATCCATCAATAAAGGCAGAAATGCTTGGGCCACCATCATTGGTTCATTTTTGGAGCTTCCATACTGAATTAGAAACTAGAAAACTAGAGGAAACAAACTAATTAACCCACACTCTACAACGATTGGAAAGGAAATGGTGGTTCAGATGTAGATTGCAGTTTCTGCAACAGGCCAGAAGAAGCTAGTTTGTAGAGGTCATAGAAGCAAATCCTGGGCATGAACCTTTCAAAGAGGCCATGAAGAAGAACTTTCAATTGACCTTATGGAGGTTGGGGCAAACCGTTCAACAACTCTGGGGGGAAAAAAGCAAGGCCTGTCTCAGACTGTGCTTGATTTGGAGTGCAGAAATATGGAGTGTAGGGCTGCTTTAAAGGCTATCTGGTCACTGCATAACCTAAGGGAGAGTTGTGTCTGCATTCACAGCACAAAGTTGATGGTCTTGAGATATGGACCATGACAAAACAGAAAAGATCCTTCAAACAATCAGCTGAACAAGCAGCTGGAGGCTGCACAGCTGGAGAGAAAAGTTCTGCAGAGTAGTGAAGGCTGCACAGAAGTCCGTTGGTCAGTCTCCCCACCATCACAGACATCTACACCTCCAGATGCAGGAAAAGGACCACCTGCATCATGAAGAACCCCACTCATCCAGCACACACACTTTTTGCCCCATTCCCCTCAGGGAGAAGGTTGAGGAGCATAAAGTGTAGAACCACTACACTGAGGAACAGCTTCTACTTTCCTGACCTTTGACCTTCATATGAACTCACTTTGTAAAAAGGCCCACCAAAGGATGTATTTTTATCGTAAGCTTTGCAGTTTTAATGTTGATTCAACTTTTATGAGAATGTTTTATTCATGTTTTATTGAGCCTATTTTAAACTTTACCTTCATCTGTTGGTTTGGACTTTTGACATGAAAGAACTGGAGCAAACTCTCGGGGATTGTCAGGATGTGCAGCAACGGAACCTCGCTGACCTACACAAGGTTAGAGATTCATGAGTCTAACAGCTTCAGGGTAGTTCAAGTTCAAGTTCAAGTATCTTTATTATCCCCGAGGGTCAATTCGTTTCACAGTCAGTAGATGTGTACATATACACACACATGCACATACACATGTACACATATATACACAAGACATTAAGACATTAAAGTAACAGTATTGAAATTAGTGTTCATTGAGAAACCTGATTGCTACAAGGATGAATGAGTTTTCCAGTCTGTTTGTTCTACATCTGGGCTGCAGAAACCTGCGTCCAGATGGAAGCAACCTGAACTCACCATGGAGTAGATGATCAGGATCTGCCAGAATCTGCCTGGCCTTATACACTGACCTCACCAGGAATATCACTGTAATGCTACTTTAATTGGACATTTGACAATTTATCTGTGCTGCTGATTATCCATGCTGCTGATTTCTTACCCATAAGCTGCTGTATTCATACCCATTTGCTCACAGCAGACTCATGTTCAGGCTGTTGTTTAACACATCTTATTATATTTTATTATTGTTGTTTAGCATATATATTAGAGCCTTGTATACGGTTTCGTATTTATATTTTATATTATTGCTATTTTTGGGTGTAAGTGGGACCTTGAGTACACAATTTCGTTCCACCTCATGTACCACATTCATTCAACCTTTATTTACCGGTATACAGGTTAGTCTCTCTGAGTCACAAGGAGTCATTTATAAGAAAGACCTGTTTTAAACTAAGAACACAGAGGAGGTACAGACAACAATAGACAATCATATAAAAGCATATAAAATGAAAAGTAAATAAAAGAAGTGATATATAAAATGAAACAAAAACAAGCTACATTATAAAATGGTGTAAAATAGTAAAAACAGGAACATGTCTGTGTTGATTCTTGCATTGAACTTCAGTTGTTTAAAATCCCTTAGAGGTCAAAGTTGAAAACTTCAGATCTTTTTGCAAGGTGTTCCTGGTTACAGGACCGGAGAAGGACCTGTTTGCCAAATTTGGTCGCACTGAGGGGACATATGATGCGACACTTGTCACCTTGAACCTTAAAATTAACTTCTGTCAGTAGGTGGTCAGGCTCAGCTTTAGAGCTAGAGTGATGAGCTCAAAGTATACAGGTCCTTCTCAAAAAATTAGCATATTGTGATAAAGGTCATTATTTTCCATAATGCAATGATAAAAATGAAACTTTCATATATTTCAGATTCATTGCACACCAACTGAAATATTTCAGGTCTTTAATTGTTTTAATACTGATGATTATGGCATACAGCTCATGAAAACCCAAAATGCCTGTCCCAAAAAATTAGCATATCAAGAAAAGGTTCTCTAAACAAGCTATTAACCTAACCATCTGAATCAATGATGTAACTCTAAACACCTGCAAAAGATTCCTGAGGCTTTTAAAAACTCTCAGTCTTGTTCATTACTCAAAACCACAATCATGGGTAAGACTGCCGACCTGACTGCTGTCCAGAAGGCCATCATTGACACCCTCAAGCAAGAGAGTAAGACACAGAAAGAAATTGCTGAACGAATAGGCTGTTCCCAGAGTGCTGTATCAAGGCACCTCAGTGGGAAGTCTGTGGGAAGGGAAAAGTGTGGCAGAAAACGCTGCACAACGAGAAGAGGTGACCGGACCCTGAGGAGGATCGTGGAGAAGGGCCGATTCCAGACCTTGGGGGACATGCGGAAGCAGTGGACTGAGTCTGGAGTAGAAACATCCAGAGCCACCGTGCACAGGCGTGTGCAGGAAATGGGCTACAGGTGCCGCATTCCCCAGGTCAAGCCACTCTTGAACCAGAAACAGCAGCAGAAGCATCTCGCCTGGGACTGCTGCTGAGTGGTCCAAAGTTATGTTCTCTGATTACAGTAAATTTTGCATTTCCTTTGGAAATCAAGGTCCCAGAGTCTGGAGGAAGAGAGGAGAGACAGAATTCACATTGCTTGAGGTCCAGTGTCAAGTTTCCAGTCACTGGAGTGTCATGTCAGCTGCTGGTGTTGGTCCACTGTGTTTTATCAAGCGCAGGGTCAATGCAACTAGCTATCAGGAGATTTTGGAGCACTTCATGCTTCCATCTGCTGAAAAGCTTTATGGAGATGAAGATTTCATTTTTCAGCACGACCTGGCACCTGCTCACAGTGCCAAAACCACTGGTAAATGGTTTACTGACCATGGTATTACTGTGCTCAATTGGCCTGCCAACTCTCCTGACCTGAACCCCATAGAGAACCTGTGGGATATTGTGAAGAGAAAGTTGAGAGACGCAAGACCCAACACTCTGGATGAGCTTAAGGCCGCTATCGAAGCACCCTGGGCCTTCATAATATCTCAGCAGTGCCACAGGCTGATTGCCTCCATGCCACGCCGGATTGAAGCAGTCATTCATGCAAAAGGATTCCCGACCAAGTATTGAGTGCATAACTGAACATGATTATTTGAAGGTTGGGGGTTTTTGTATTAAAAACACTTGTCTTTCATTGGTGGGATGAAATATGTTATTTTTTTCGGACAGGCATTTTGGGCTTTCATGAGCTGTATGCCATAATCATCAGTATTAAAACAATTAAAGACCTGAAATATTTCAGTTGGTGTGTAATGAATCTGAAATATATGAAAGTTTCATTTTTATCATTACATTATGGAAAATAATGACCTTTATCACAATATGCTAATTTTTTGAGAAGGACCTGTAGCTGCTACTCCTCTACACTGGAAGCGAGCTAAGGTGGGTCGGGCATCTGACTGATACACCTGGACTCCCTAAGTACACAATGAGATCCCCCATCAAGAGCAGAAGTGCAAAAACTCTGGATTTCCCTCCATGACCTGACAGATTAACAAGTGGGAAGAGTGGACAAATTACTATTTGAAGAATATGTACCGGGCAAACCCTGAAAGTTTTTTTTATTTCAATTTAGCACCAACTGCAACAAGAGTTAATTGTCTCCACAGCGTTACTAAAACCTGTAACAAACTAGAAGTTAAAACAAAAATCTGTATATGAAAAGACCACAAAAAATGCTTTAAGTCAAGAATGGGAATAGGAAACACCGAAGGGAATATTGTTTAACACAGAATCCAATACATGAAATTTCATATTTAATTTAGTTTAAAAACAATTTTTTTTCAAAGTTGTAATAATTGGTCAATAAATTAAATGCACTTCTGTAATTCAGTGACAGTGAGTAATTTCATATTATTCACTCATTTACAGAGACTGCACATTGGTGAGGCGGTTAGCACTGCTGCCTCACAGCATGAAGGTCTTCAGTTCAAACCTCAGCTGGGGCCTTTTTGTGTGAAGTTCTGTGAATGTGTGTGATACTTTACCTGGTTTGGGCACAGCCAGCCCTCTCTCTTTGTAGAAGTTGCACATTTTTTCTCTTTCAGCTATTGTACAAAGAAATAAAAGCAAATGTTTAGAGTATCAGACAGAGCCGTCTTCCACATTACACGTGCAAACACTTACACTCTTCCAGGAATGGAACCATTTTGTAAACGATATCTTGCAGCTGTCTGTCTGGCCTGGAGAGAAAAGCAAAACCAGTTTTTATTTAGTTTTTGTTTTTATACAAAACCTGTTCTCCTTTAGAAGTGACACTCATTTATCAGACACACTTTCTGGACAGCCAACTATTTAAAACAGTGGTTCTCAAACTGGGGTCGCCGGAACCCCCGGGGAGCCGCAAAAAATAAAATAAAATAATAGATAAATATATATATATATATATGCGGCAGCACGGTGGCGCAACTGGTAGAGCTGCTGCCTCTCAGCGAGCAGGTCCCTGGTTCAAACCCCGGTCCAGGGGCCCTCTGGGTGGAGTTTACATGTTCTCTCCGTGCATGCGTGGGTTTTCTCCGGGTAGTCCGGTTTCCTCCCACAGACCAAAAGCATGCATGTTAGGCTGATTGGTAACTCTAAATTGTCCCTAGGTGTGAGTGAGAAAGTGAATGGTTGTTTGTCTCGTTTGTCTCTGTGTGTCCCTGTGATGGACTTGCGATCCGTCCAGGGTGTACCCCACCCCTCGCACAGTGATTGCTGGACATGGGCACCAGCGACCCCCGTGACCCAAAATGGAATAAACGGGTAAAGAAAATGGATGGATGGATATATATAATTTTTTTTTTTTTTTTTTTAAAAATTTTGTTTGTTTGTTTTTAACAAGTATGTAGATGTTTAACAACCTGTTAAAATACACCAAAATGCAGGAAATTGCATCTACTTTATTCAAAATTTTCTGGGGAGGACACCCATACATATCAAACAAATGGATTAAAACATAATAAAATACATTAAGCATGAGTGCAATCCTGTTTTTGATACAGTTTGTTTTTTTGTTTTTTTTACATATTGAATCTGGTTAGAGACTTTAAATTGACATGGAGTGACTTCCAAATTGTGGATCCTCTCACAGAGAGCACTTTGAGCAAAAGTGGTTCTACGAAATGGAACCTTACAGTCGCCAGCTGCTCTGGTAGATCTACTGTAGCCCTGCAGTTTCTGTATACCATTGCTTAATGGTTTGGGTGCAAGTCCATTTAAACATTTTAAGATCAATTATAAAAATTGGAATTGATGAAATTGGAAAATTCTAGAATACTGAACTTAGCTAAAATATTGCAGTGATGAAATCTGATTGTCTTTTGGTATAAAACCTTCAAGGTCCGATTGTAGAGACTTTCCAATGGTTTAAGTGTAGTTTGGTGTCTGTGATCAGACAGTAGCTCCATAAGACATGTGAAAGAATCATTGAGCTGAAGAAGATCTCTGCACAATGAAGTGTCAAACATTTACTAATCATTTTAAAACAATTTATGTTTGATCTAAGTTTAGCAGATTTTATCAACATGGTTCTTAAAGTTTGATGTTAATTCTCTCAAAACAGTAATTTTTGAAAGTTGAAATAATAATAAAAAAAAAAGTTAGTTAATTGTGTCTTGAATGAAAAATACCCCATGTTTAAAATTATAAAAATTGTATTAACACTATTAAACAGGTCTTAAGTATATGTTACACAAATATTTCCACTGCATTAGACAATTTGAAGAAAATTATTTAATAAACATGAGGGTTATGAGGGGGTCCCTGAAACTTTTTCTCCTCTGTAAGGGATCTGTAAGGGGTCCCTGAACCCAAAAAGTTTGAGAACCCCTGCTTTAAAGAGAACAGTTTTCCTATTATTAGACTAAACAACCCACCTGATGTTGTACAGAGGTTGTGTCTGATGAACCACAATGCTGCATGTTGGACATTTGTTGCTACCAAAAAAATGCTTCACAATGCAGCGTTTGCAAACTTGGAAAAGATACAAAGAAATCAAAATTAGTTATTTTTCTCAACAATATTTTTTACACATCTGTAGTGAGCTAGGGTCGGTTAGCTTCAGTTAGCTTCACTACAATCAATATTTAAAAACGGGTTCTCTCTTTTTCGAGCTACTTGACAGATATGTGACAGAGATACTGAGTGAGAGATGGTCTAATCAGTGACGAGAGACGTTAATTTTCTTTGACCCATCAAAATGAATGTGGTCATTTATTAACAGAATCAAAATTTAACATCAAACATTGTACACTTGATTATTCTGATTAAATGCAATAACACAGCTTAATTATTGACAACAATAATAATAACAATGAGAAATCATACGGCCATGATTTCTCACTTGCAACTAAAATACAACAGACATATCTGAAAATATCTGGATTAATTACTGGCAAGATAGAAGAGTTTTAAAGATGGGGAATGAAGGAGTTTAAATGGAGAGGAAAAAGATGGATGAGGATGTATGTCTGTAGACCAGAACAACACGCTCCTTTCAAGCGCAGTTCGCCTGCGGTACACTGGTAGTGAAGCTCATGACGACTCTTTACCTTTGGCGGAGGATGAATCCGCGGCGGTCAAGAGGTCCCTGGTACGCTACCTTTCAGCGTCTCCTCAGGGCGGCTGCGACTCGGAAGAAGTCGTGAGAACTCGTTCCACAGAACAAACCTCCTCAGAAGTTATAAAGCTTTCACCGGGTGGAACCACAGCGAGGCATCGTGGCTCCTACAGGAACTCCAGCCAAACTTCATCAGTACCAGAGGAACTCAGAACTTCTGTTCTCTCTCGGAACTTCTGTTCATCCTCCAGAACTTCGGATCACTTCTGCTCTCAGAACTTCGGTTCATGTCTCAGAACTTTTGTAACTAGGAAGTGTCGACTTTTAAAGAGTTCTGTTTCCAGTCCCATTTGGGAAGTCCTGATTGGTTGAAAGAACCAACAGGGGTGTGGTTTTAGTGACGTAAGAGGGTTACTACAAGTCAGAAAAACAGCGGACATGTTTTAGGAACAGACAGAGAAATGTTTAGGAGCAGACAGAGAAATGTTTTGGCGAAATGACAGACCCCAGGTGCCAGCTTCTCTTGTTTCTGTCTGAGAGGTTTAAAAACATGACAGTTCGTTCCAATAAACTTGTTTGCGACTGTCTCCGACTTTTGACCGACACTCCTTCTCATTTCAGACAGAAGATCAAAAAATGCATAATTACTTTGTAACAGACATCTAACTTGATTTCTACTTTGAATGAGGATTAAAAATCATTAATACTGTTTCACAGTTGATTTAAAATGAGTAGTTCACTTCAACATTTAAAATGGTTTGAACTAAACACACTTTTGGATTATCAAGACATTGTAAAAATAGTAATAAAAAAGAGAGTGTTCTTTCAATTGATTAGTGCAGGATACAATTAGAAAGTCTCTGGATGAGCTTAATTTGTATTTCTGGATTCAAATCAATGAAGTAACAGTTTCTGTCCCATGAAGGCCTTCAGGGTCAGGTTTTGACCTGAGGCTTAGTTCACTACACATCCATACAATGCACAATGTATGAAGTACATGCTGAATTAGTTTAAATACAACTGTGACTATAGGGTCATGGGACAAAAAGTCCATGCTCAGTATCAGGACTAGGGATGCAATAATCCACATTTTTTTACTTCCGATCCGATCGCGATGCCTACCTCTGGATATCGTCCGATACCAATCCAGTTCCGATATCATCATCATCATTGATTTTATATGAGGCTGTAATAATCTTCTCTCAAGTGCAATTTGTACAAATATATGCATGCATGTCCAAAAAGGCAACTTGAGGTAAATTTTATTAATGTTGGATAAGTTTCAAAGTTAGAACTAAATTCTGCTAACACAAAACATGTTTTTTTTTATTCCTAGCTTTAAAGTGGATATTAAAGTGATTAATTTAAGTGACTGTTTAAAGTTATTTTATAGATTTTTTTAAATAAGGGGCAAATATAAGAAATGTTTTCTTCTTTCTGCACTCTTCATTCAGTGTTTTGTTTTTGATTAATTTGCTTTATTTTGTCTCTTAAATGAATGAATAAATTAAATTAAATAAAAAATTAAAAGGCTTTAAACATCTGCTAAGTTCATGGCATAAACCAACACAGACATGTTTTAGTATTTTACATTGCTTTATAATGTAGCTGTTTTTTGTTTCGTTTTATGTATACACATATACACACACATATACACACACATACACACACACACACACACACACACACACACACACACACACACATATATGTGTGTGTGTGTATATAATTTTCTTGTAATAATTTTCTTGTAATTTTCGAATCATATGCTTTTTATGATTGTTTACTATTGTAAATATCTCCTGGAGGGTAAACTATATCTTGGCTGCAAGTATCAAGCTGCGAAATACTTTGTTTTCTACAACTGATAGTGGTTGATCATTAATTATAATGAAGTTTAGCAATTTCTCAGTAAACATTCGAGCTTTTGTGGCTTCAGCGGTTGTTATTCTTGTTCCATCTGCAGCAGGCAGTCTGATTTCGGTCAGCCGCGCTCAGTCTGCCCCTCCTCAGAGATGGGCAGACTGAACCGGGCAGATTGAGCACGGCTGACCGGGGTTGGGCTGCCTGCTACGAGATCAGCGAGAGCAGCAGACCACTGAAGCCCCGGAGCATGAATGTCCATCATAAAACTAACTTTACCTCGGTTTAATGTGGTGCTATGACTCTGCAGACATTGCATGTTGCTGTCTTACTTTGTGGTGTTTCTAGTATAAAATACTTCCACACAGCGGACATGTTTAGATGAAAAGTTGGTTTAGCAGTTAGCCACAATGCTACTGCACGTTGTAGCTGGCTGCAAACTATGAAATGGATTTCCTGAATGTGAGGAGGGTCTTACTACTCTGGCCTCATGATCAGCTCTTTTCGCCACCGTGCTGACAGTTGCTATGAGGTATTTCTTTTTCTACAGTCATGGCCCTGCGTATTACGGGTCAAAATGTATTCTTTGGTCTTGTGGAGTTAGGGTAAGAGCAGTCATCCTCCCATGCAAGAGTTGAGGGTTCGATTCCACCAGCAGTCAAATGCCTAAGTGTCTCTGGGCAAGCCACTGAACCCTTATTGCCTTCAATGTGTGTCCCATTGGTGTATGAGTGATAAAGCTCTGATTATTCTTTGTATAGATCTAGTAGAGTGCTGTATGAATGGGTAAATGAGGACACAGTTTGTAGTGTAAAGAGCTTTGAGTATCTTGATTAGATAGAAAGGCAGTATATAAGTACAGTCCATTTAACATTTACCATTCATGTGTAAAAATGACATTGTTCTTTGTCGTTCATTGAGGTGAAATTTTAAGACACAAGTCATGCTGCCATGTTCTCTTTAGAAACAACAGGCTTTCTCCAGCAACCCGTACAAACAAGGCATACTTGTTCAGTCCTGTTCCAAATGTCCTGCCATGAACTTTAACCTGTTAACAGAGGCCTGTACGGTTTGAGATGGAACTCTTTTTGGTTGTTTTCGTAATTTCTTTGAGCATTGCATGGACTGACATGGGGCAAATTTGCTAAGATGTTCTGGGAAGACCTTCCTGTGGACCCACCACCTGCAGGAAGTGCCATAAAAGTCGGGTGCATGATGCCATGGGTAATGGCCACAGGCGGGAACCTTGGTGCTCTGATCCTGGCTTACCAAAGCTGGCTCTTGGGACATGGAACGTGACCTCTCTGGTGGGAAAGGAGCCTGAGCTTGTGCGCGAGGTTGGGAGGTACTGACTAGATATAGTTGGGCTCACGTCTACGCACAACATGGGCTCTGAAACCAATCTCCTTGAGAGGGGCTGGACCTTATTGCACTCTGGAGTTGCCTATGGTGTGAGGCATCGAGCTGGTGTGAGTCTACTTGTAGCCCCCCGACTTGGTGCCTGTGTGTTGGATTTTTCTCCAGTAGATGAGAGGGTGGCTTCCCTTCACCTTCAGGTGAGGGGACGGGCTCTGACTGTTTGTGTCTACACGCTGAAGCAGCAGTTCAGAGTATCTGGCTTTCTTGGAGTCTTTGGCAGGGGTGCTGGAAGGTGCATCAGCTGAGGACTCCTTTATTCTGCTGGGGGACTTCAATGCCCACGTGGGTGATGACAGTGTGACCCAGAGGGGCGTGATTGGGAGGAACAGCCTCTCTGATCTGAACCTGAGCGGTGTTCTGTTGTTGGACTTCTATGCTAGTCAGTTTGTCCATCACAAACACCATGTTTAAACATAAGGGTCTCCATAAGTGCACTTGGCACCAGAACACCTTAGATTGTAGATCGATGATTGACTTTATAGTCATGTCATCTGATTTGCGGCCATTTGTTTTAGACACTCGGGCGAAGAGAGGAGCTGAGCGGTCAACTGATCACCACCTGGTAGTGAGTTGGATCAGATGGCGGGGGAAGATGCCAGACAGACCCGTTAGACCCAATTTTCTCAATATTTCTTCTTTCCCAATTGAGAAAGAAGAAATATTGAGAAATCTCCTCGGATGAGAAGGGAAATGTCTTCAGTTACAAATAAAGTCCAGTTGTTTTGTTTTTAACTCTTTTTGGACTTCTGCTGCTTAGCATTTAGTGGAGATGAAAAGGTATTTAAAACTGTCAACTTCATCAAGTGCAGAAAATCCCAAACCAGCTAACTACAAAAATATGATAAATGTTATATTGAGTTTGGTTTCATCCAGAGCAGTGACGGAAGACCAATATGTGACCATTATGTGGGGGAATGGTGGCACAGAGGTTAGAGAGATGGGCCTGTGATCGGAAGATCGCCGGTTCACGCCCCGGTACCAACAACATCAAAAATGTGGGTGGGGTAGGTGAAGCACCCACATTTGCCCCTACCCTCATTCGCCCCACTCTGGGCCCATGAGCAAGACCCTTAACCCCCCATCTGCTCCCTAAACGATGTACAAGATGGCCGCGCTCAGAGCAGTTGCAGCT